TGGCCGCTCTTCAGATACCTAAGCAAAGCCATTTCAGATTCCACAGAAAGCACTCAGCGGACGGCCCCAGGCTTTGCCCCCGGCCGGTGGGGCAGGGATGCGCACAGGGCCGGGAGCCCCTCGATGTGGAGGCCCCCACAGGACGGTGCAGCTGCCGCTGCTCAGAGGCCCCCAGCCCTGCTGCTCGCTCGGCCTCACGTGTTCTGCACAAATCCCGCGTTATGAGGCGATCATTCGACGTCTCTACCCTGTCACCAAACCTGATGCCCCAGAAAAGCGAGGCCCACGTCTGTGTCCTCACCTAACGGCCCTCACTTCCCGCCCAGCGCAAGAGGACACCTGATAGATGTTTGTTTAGAGGACAACGAGAAAGACAGCTGCTGCTCCCGCAGCCTCCCGGGTGCCGCCACACAGCGCCTGCTGGCCCTGGGCACCTGCGTGGCCGGACTTGGCCCTCCCTCCCGATGTGGCCAGTGTCAGCGCGTCCTCACACCTGGCGCCTCTACTCACCCTCCTGCCCAAGATCTGGTTGATGGCTGCGCTCTCCTTCAGCGTGCACTCGGCCACCACGTTGGCCCGCATCTCCTTCATGTACAACATGAACGCGTTCAGAGGCTTCTTAATGTGAGGTCTTTTTGGCTCCTGCTCCTTTCTCTGTTCGTGCTGAGGCTTCCTAAAAGGCGCACGGGGCAGTGTGGGTGTGAGGTCCCACAGGAGGGAGAGATGGGGTGTCTGGTTTACAGGGTGAGCCCGGCCTGCTCCCAAGTCAGCTCCTGGCCCAGGGCGTGGGACAGTGCAGGGTTCCTATGCACCCTACGGCACCCTAGGGAGAGGACCGCCCGCTCTCCCGGCACTGAGCCACCAGAGGGGCCTGGGGATGAGGAGCCGCCCCCTCTTCCCAGTGTCTGGGGGTGAAGGGCCTTCCTGAGAAGCCATTGAGAATTCTGACTCTACCCCCAAACACATGCACGTGTGCACATGTACGCACACACACGCCTGCCGCCTGCTCACACATCAGCGGAGGCTTCTGGATAGGCACACACCCTATCCCCTGCAAGGACCCCAGATGCTGAGGCCTGGGCCCCGCTTCAGCACCAGCCTGCAGGGACCCTGAGCTTCACGCGTGCTCCTCCCCTGAATCCTGTGTCGCAGGAGCCCGAGGTCGCTGCGTCCCCAGGAGGGCCCCATGCCCTGCCCAGGGACTCTTGGGTCCCCACCTTCTGAGCTGAACTGAAGCCTGTGGGGCCCCATCCCGAAGAGGCCAGGCACCTCCGTCTCAGGACCAGATCCCCGCCGCACTCGGGGGCAGGCCTTGGGGCTCAGGGAGGGGTGGGGGCTACTCACACGTGCATTAGGTCGCTGTCACTGTGGGGGTGCTCCTGTTTGACCTGAGGTGTGACAATAGCTGGGTGCGGGATGCCAGTTGTGTGGGCACCGGGGGGACCAGGGATCATGTGATGGGAAAACCTGCGGGGCGAGGGGAGAGAGCGTGTGCACTGCTGGCCCACGGCCGCAGACACAAGTGGCCACCAGCGGGTCACTGCGGCACACTGGGCCGGGGCTGGCAGGGTGAAAAAATAAATTATTCTCCAGAGGTTTTTTTGTTCAAACTAAGAGAACTTGACATTTCTCCTGGGAGGGCAGGTGGCCACAGGATGGGAGACAAAAAGTGAATCATTTTTCTTGCAAAGCAGTTTTCAAGTAAGAGAACTTATTGGAAACACAGCACTGTATGAAGATTTTGTTTTTCAAATGCTTTTTAAACGTAAGCTAAAGTCTGGTTAAAACCCCCCGCAATGTTCATAAAAGCACCGCGTGAAGCTTCCCTCGCGGTCGGCCTCTGCCTTTGTCTCAGACATGAGCGAGTGCATTCGCGTCATTAATAACGGGGCCACTGAGAAAACGGATGGGGATATCGTCCTTCAGTTTCCCATTTGACTGGGCTTCCGTCACCAGCTTCCCAAAGCGTGCTGTGAAGGGACAGCAACGTCCGAGACGCCTGCTAAGACGTTAAGGGGTGGGTATAACCAAAGGGAGGCACACAGTTCCGCCCTGAGGTAAAGACCATGCTTGTGCAGCATGAAAAAAAAGATCTTAAAACACCCTCGGCCAGCTAACCGAAGCAGGAAAACTGCCATGCAGGAAAACGGTAGCCCTGAACCCAAGAGCCCGGAGCGAAGGGGCAACGCCTTAGAAAGTCTCGCTTTCCAAACTGCTTTACAGCAAACACTGAATTCCACAGGAACAACAGCCTCAGGCCTCTCATCACAGCCCGCACTGCCAGTTCCTTCTGGGATGTCTAATATTCCGGAAACAGCTTCCTTCACACGTTGAGGAGGCATGGTAAAAATACAAGTATTTGGCCAAATAACGAGGTGCTATTTTAAATAGTACGTGACACGGAAAACCCTGTGCTTGGACAGTTCTCACAGCATCGACAAGCATGAAAGCAAACTTCGGGGGAGACACTACTGTCCCCGCCCAGCCAGCGAGATTCGCTAGAGTGTACACGCGTGGATGTCACGCGTACACGTGTGTTTTTCTTTCTTTAGAAGCTGAAGTTCATACGAGAAGCAGCAAGCTTCACACCCACACAGAAAAGGCAGAGGCAGCCCAGAGTCCCCACCGCACAGGCCCCACGGGGACACTCGCAACCAGGAGCCCGCAGTGCAGACGAGGCCGGTGCTCACCCAGCGGCCCCTCCCACAGCGAAGCGCCACAGCGCGGCCCCCACGCCCTGAGCCACGTGC